CGTTTTTGATTTACTAGGGACCTGCACATTACAGCACTGGAAAACAGTGGGAGCCCGAGTCCAAAGGGCTCTAATGCGTAGGCGAACAGAGTTTAAAGAATTCAGTTGTAGCGGTTGGCATCCAGGAGTGCTTTGCCATTCCAGAGGATATGAGACCATGATGAAATGCACTGAATTAAATGAGTTTCTGTATGAATATGCAAGAAAAAACAAGCTTTCCAATGGGAGCAGAACTCATGTCAGTGTAATAACACTTGAAACGAGAATATCACATTATCACATCTGACATGTTTATGACATGGCAACACACAAACTATAAACTTACCTCTTTGCATTACAAGCTGTAAAAATGAAAAGAAAACAAGTTCTGCAGAATAATTCTACATAACTTCTTGGTTGTTACAAGCTTATTTTTTTAACGAAGTTCGATCTTATCCAGACAAGACTACTTAATTCAGAAATCAACATAAATGCAAATGATTAAAGTCCTTAAAGAAAGAAAACAAAGTGATTAAAAATTATTTCAGTTTTTTGATAAAGTAAACAAATGCAAACAAAAGTGACTATTTATGGAAAACTTACCTTGACACATGGAAATCAATAATAACTTTTTAATTTTCATGTTAATTTTGCACTTTTTTTTTCTAAAGTTAGATACATTATAGTCAGTAAAACAGTGAAATTAACATAAATGAACAAATGCGACAACACAATATTACAATAACACTACATTTAAAGCATATATTCATCAAAAGACAAAAACTATGCCTAAAACAAAAAGATGTGTGAAAATGAACATTACTTTTAAATTTTCATTTGTGAGTGCGGTCGGATAAAATAAAAACCATTACTTCAATCATTCAAAAAAGTACCATAAACCTGAATGAAATGACAAAATCCTAATAACCAAACCAGTATGATCAGTTAATGCATTGCAGACTTCATTTGCATAAAAAGAAAAAAAAAACACATATCAATGCTCCACCATTACAATTTACATACAGCTTACAAGATGAGCCCTGTCCATCTCTTGTTAATTATTTTTTCAGACTCAGAATGATTTTAATTACGTTACACTCCAGAAGAAAATAATGGCAAACATTCTCTCTTTTCATGCTTACGCAAGCAAGTCGATTTACTTTTTTTTTCTCATTCACAGCTTTATGGGGGGGGGCAACAGGATGGGATGTGCATAAAAAGAAAAAAAAAACACATATCAATGCTCCACCATTACAATTTACATACAGCTTACAAGATGAGCCCTGTCCATCTCTTGTTAATTATTTTTTCAGACTCAGAATGATTTTAATTACGTTACACTCCAGAAGAAAATAATGGCAAACATTCTCTCTTTTCATGCTTACGCAAGCAAGTCGATTTACTTTTTTTTTTCTCATTCACAGCTTGATGGAGGGAGGCAACAGGATGGGATGTGACATTTTGGTTGGAAAGGCTTCAGAATTCAAAGCAGCTGTGGGTAAAAACCACCTGTAAAGACACTCTCTGGATCAGATTTCTTTTGAAACCTCAACCTAGCATTTGCTTCCAATAGTTAGTTAACAAAAACCCCAAAAGTTTCTAGAGATGCTTTTTTGGACGGGCAACATGGGCTAAATATACCAGGAGATGCCATTTAAATCAGGGGTGTCAAACTCAATTCCTGGAGGGCCGGAGCCCTGCAGAGTTTTGTTCCAGCCCTGCTCCAACACACATATCACATCATTTTCAAATAAGCCTGAAAGCTCCGGCCCTCCAGGAATTGAGTTTGACACCCCTGATTTAAATGTTTATGGGTCCCACTTAGAGGGTAGCCTTTTTTTTTTACTTTGCTAAGGTTTACCACAGATGTCCATATATTTCCCAATGCTTCCTCTGGGGAAAAAAAAGAAAAAAAAAAGACATGCATAATACATAAGAGTACATGGACAACAACACTGTCTATGCATATGTGTGTAGTATGCCTACAAATGTCAGCTCATAGATTACTGTCATGTAAGTAAATGGAGGTTTTAATGGTTGTTTTAACATGATTTTAAACATAAAACGTATGATTTTAAACATTGTCAAAAAAATAATGTGATTAAATGTTAATACATTGCATTGTCATCTCAAGATAAATAATCAAATTCTAATATATGTTTAAGCATAACTTCAAAAAGATAAAAGGGTTGACAGTAACAGGGTTGACATTTTTTGTTTAATTTAACATTACAAGTCTTGTGGTGAAACTTCAATGTCCTTAAAAAAAGTGTATATTTGTAGAAATATCATCACTTGTTTACTATATATAAAAACAGTAACAGAGTTGACGTTACGAATATTTCCAAACTAAAAACATGACAAAACATAAGATAAAGCATCAAAAAAGTAGACTTGCTTGTTTCAGAAAGCAAAGTTTTCAAGGATGATAATTACATTCTGACACAGTAAAAAAAAATAAAATAAATAAATAAATAAGTAAAATAAAATAAAATGGTAAAATTGTTGACAAATAACTCCAAGTCCTTCAGTCTGTCAACCAAAATATAAAAATATATATGTGTTAAAGACAAAATGTTATGTTTTGTTGACTTGTGTAGAAAATGTCTACAGTGATAAAGTAAAAGCTGGAATCAGATATTCATCGCTGAAGTCATTTTTTACATGCATGTATATGAGGGAACGCGTTTTGTAGAATGACCCAATAAAGAACAAAAGGAAAGTAAAAACAGAATCATTAACAATACATAAGGCAGAGTTTACTCGCTGTTGTTCTTTTTTCCTTAGAAACCGCAGTTCTAAGATATTGCCAGATACAGCATTTTGGAGAAAACTTTTCAAATAAAAAAAAGAGCAACGGTTTGAATGGTGAATGTTTGGAGATCATCCCTTGATAATTCTATTCCCCTCACAAACTAATTGGTTTAAAGTTGCCAAGCATGCGCCACAAGCTATTTCAAACCTGCATGCTATTGATATTTCATGTTTCAAAGCACAAATCCTTTCAATAAAGAAAAAAAAAATCCTGAGATGCTCTAGCTATTTTCCTCCATGCATGTCCACAGGGGAAACGAACAGTGAGGAACCCGGATTCTGCCTACTTGTTTTTTTTTTTTTTGCCCCAACTATGACTTATTTGTTGTCCCATCTGCACTCACAACTCCAAACTTGGACAAAGTTTGGCTCAAAGACTGTCACTCTCTGCTGACCACACAATTGGCCAATAAAGTGTCAGCTTCCCGGCCACTTCAAACACCAAGAACAAGGTGAAACTCGCCTCAAGAACCAGACCTAAAGAGAAACGGCACGTTTTTCTTGCCGAAATACAGGCAAAAAAAATCTATGAAAATGCTGCCAGCAGCTGAATCTGCTGCCAATGCAGAAGGGACATGTTACAAGTGCTGGTCCCTCTGGCAACAGACAGATATAGAGAGCTGAACCAAGCACCTGGATCTTAAGGAAAGAGAATATATTTGGCCTTGGTGCAAAAGGTAAAAACATCTGAGTCAGTTGGGCTTCTGTAGTGACATCTCTCAGTGTCTGTGCAGTCTGCCAACAAAGTGTACAACGGATCAGCGGGTAACAACTAGCATATTGTTCAATAACAGGTCTACACTGCTTTGGAACATGTTTTGTGGACGCCTAAGTAAAATCTCAATTTCTGGAGACTCACTGATGCAATTGTTGGACATTACAAAACATATGCTACCACAAAATAAGCATATTTTCATCACCATTCCAGCTACTCATGAGCGATTTTGATTCAGGACAATATGCTAATGAATCATTCACACAGATTTGAGAACTAAATCAACCAATTCACTGAAAAAAACATGACTTTTTTTTCTTCAAAAGAATGATTCAGTCATAAGTTGGCTTGAGAGCCAATAAATATTTTCAAAGTGTGTAGCTACAAAACACGCTACAGTTAAGTTTGAGGTTAAGTATTTGATCAAAAATACAGTAAAAGCAGTAATATTTTGAAATATTTTTTGCAATTTAAAAAGCACAGTTTTCTTTTAATATATTATAAAATGTAATTTATTCTTGTGATCAAAGCTGAATTTTCAGCATCATTACTCCAGTCTTCAGTGTCACATGATCCTTCAGAAATCATTCTAATATGCTGATTTGAAATTTAAAATGTCTTTACTGTCAATTTAGATTAATTTTAATGCATCCTGAATAAAAATATTAATTTCTTAAAAAAAAAACAAAAAAAAACTTAGACTGTGAAATGTTATTTATATTTAAAATTGATTCTTATTGATCTTTACATACATATACATATATATATATATATATATATATATATACACACACATATATATACACATATATAATTCTTTTTTTTATTTTTTAGATAAAACCATAATAAAAATGGGGCCATGTTGTTTTAGTGTATTTTTTTGTTAAATAAGTCCTTTTTTGGAAAGTATTCATTTCTTAAAAACAAAAAAATCCCTAAACTTTTTTACATTTGTTGAATGTGTCAAAATAGCAAAAATGGCATATTAAAAATAATGACAAAATCCCCATTACTGTTCTAGGGATAGAAAACACTGATATTAAAAATATCTTACATATTCCTGATATTTTTCAGGTATTCCATGACTGAAACAAAAGACTTTAAGCCCTTCAATTCCACTGTATAAACTGTCTAGCAATGCCTGTTGTTTAGCAATATGTGAGCACTACAACAAAGAAGCATCCATTCAGATCTCTTGCAGTCAATGGAGTGCAGTTAGACTGTACCGCCACTAGATGGATACCTTCAACTGTTTTCTAATAGCAAAACGTACACTGTACACAGACAACAAATAAAAAAAGAACTCGCCAGAAGCCTTTTTTACAACTAATATCGACACCAGACCAGTCTGGGTAAAGACAGCAGCTTACAAGAGGAGGAAACAACAAGCCCGATATCAATTGTGATGTTTACTTAAGTTTGTTTTCGTTGTTCTGCCAGTTTCAAGGGAGC